GGGGGGGGGGGGGGGGGGGGGGGGGGGGGGGGGGGGGGGGGGGGGGTTGAAGTGGGAGTTCATTGATGGGGAAAAGGAGAGAAAATTTTGCAGGTTGAAGCGATATTTATACCAGATCCTCATTTATTTCACCGGAAAATCTTCGTCCAAAGTGGTCATGCGACTAAATGGAAATAATAATTCTACTCCCACTCTTTCACAAAAGGTCCAATACTGAATTTTTATTGATTGACGTTCAGATGGGAGAATGTGTAAAATTTGAAATTTCGTGATTGCTTCCCGTAAATCGACTTTAATGTCACCCTCATAAAAAAGGCTCTTAAACACTATGAAATTTAGATTTTTTTTCTAACAGTTTACCTCTCCGACTTGGACTAAGTGTTGATTTGACTATAATCAAGCCAAAGAATAATTTTGTATCAAGCCAAAAAATTGACTTGAATCGTGGCGAAAAATCAACTCAAACAAATCGCTATCTATTCCCTGCAACATCACTCAGTTTTTCAGCTTAATTCACACCGATTTTTGGACTTGATTCAAGCTGATTTCGGTTTCAGATGTTTCTTCCTGAAATAAATCACTTTTCGGCTCATATCGAATCCGGAATCCGGATTGTTGTAGTCCGAGTCACTCGGCTTGAGTCAAGTCGAAAATCGTCTAGAATCAAGCTGACGTCGACTTGAATCAGTACTTTCTTTTTGGGTGTAGATTCTTCCTTTGAAAAAACGGAAATTTTCTGAAATGTTCGAAATACCTCGTGAATACATTATGCATATACCGACTGCAACTTGACCTATTCATCGATTATGCATTCATGCTCATGAATGATTGTTTTACGCAATTCATTATTACGGAAAAATTAGGAGAAATGGCGTGTTGCACTGACTTTAAAAGGGAACGAGTTATGAGTCAGAACAAATAAAACGAAACGGATCGATAACTGGAAAACATTAGAGAGGAATTTCCTCTTTTTTTCTGATTTTCCAGGTGCAGAGTTCCCGTAAATTGATGCAGTAATTCTTCGTCTTGAGCGATTATTTTTTCAGGTGCAACTCGTTGAACTCGTTCAATCTAAGTCCGTGACTCAACTGTTGACGTATCACTCCGTATTTTTCTGCACTGACACGATAATTCAATTGCAAGGTTCTTAACAAGGTTGTTAACAAGGTTCATCACTGATTAATGAATAATATAGTTGAATCTGAACGAATCAACAGTCATCATTAGGAGGCAAAAATTTCTATACTGAATTACGTAATTTAAGAAGAATGCACCACTATACTTAATAAGTCATTAGATAGTGCAATGAAAAGTTCATTGATTATCAATACATAATGACTTTTCATTGCCCGTTACTCTGTTAAATAGGTCCCGCTCCAAATGTATCAGGAAATCAATATGATCAATGAAAAAACATTAAATATAATTTATCTATCATTTGTAAATGAAACCTCTTATTAGTGGAGAAACCGGTATGAAGAAAGGCGGTTCACGCCTGTGAGCTGCAGTCGTCTCGCTTCATCGGTTCGTCTGTCTCAACCCCTAATAACTCTCCAACACTCACTGATCGGCAGATAACCTAATGATTGGTTCTAATCTCAATCGTATTACGTCATGAGAGATGGAATTATATATGATGGCAACTAAGTACATCATATATTAAATGCAGTTGATTTTTTTCTTATCATTTCACGGTCGCGGTCATAACTAAACCCGAGTG